CGAGTTCCGGAGCGGTGTGCCGGGTCGATAGCTGCTGGCTGCCGCGCCGGCTGCGGCCCGGGATCCGCGCGCCCGAGCTACCGCCCGCCCGCCTGCTCGCCTGCTCGCTGCAGCGCCCTCCGCCGCTGCCACCGCCACCGCCACCGCCTCCCTAGGCCCCTCTGCCGCCCCGCCTTTCCCCGGAGCTCGCCCCCGCATCCACTCTTCCCTCCAGCGCGCTGTGGCCTTCGCTCTTCGGCGGTCGTCCCACCTCGTCGATCTGCGAGGTTGGATCGAGTGATTCAGGTGCACTCGCAAATTGCAGGCAAAGAAAAACTGAAGAAGAAAAAAACAACCAAAAAATCAGAAGAAAAAAAAAACACTTTTAAATCCAGATTCATTCATATTGGATTCGGTGACTTCGATGGCTACTTTTATTCGCGAATTGAAAGAAAAATAAAATTAGTTCAAGAAGCGCACGTAGTAATATTATACAATTTACCATCGATAATGAATTTAGATATAAAATGTTAAAAAACGCGATTCCATATTTTGGTTGTTTAGTTTATATTAAGGAGACAATGACTTTCTGCCAGTAAGAAATGCTCGTTCTTTCTTGATAACTTTGTTGATTTTATTGGCTCTCTTGGCAATATTCTTCATATTTATTTTCGTATGTTTTAAATGATTTCATTGTTGTTTTAATTCCTATTTGCTTTTGAATCCTAATGCGTGTGTGATGCTTAGTAAACATTGTGTATCGGTTTTTTCATCCAAAAGTTGATTTCCTGAGCGTTGTTCTAGATTCTGTGTAAAAATATTCGAGTCAATGATCTGTTGGAATAACTAGAAGAAATACACTTGTTTAAGAGAATACGTTTAAAAATAGTGGCATATTAAACTGATCGTATGCTATTGCATGCCTTGCGCAATTTCAAGTCCAGATTGCAGTCATTCATAATTCCGAAATTGTTTCCCGAAGGAGCTATGATCTAATTTGCAGTATGGTACCACAGAATTGAATAGAAATTCATTTAGTAAATGTCTAAGATTATAACATGTAATTCGTTGAAGATTAATATAATTGAACCTAATGGATGGTTGATTGTCTCAAAACGTGCATGTCATTTGCTCTCGGGCCTTTGAGCTACGTAACTTTCCTTAGCATTTCAAATAAGGTTATTTTTTTTATAAATAGCAAGTCAGAAAACATTACAGGGAATATAACATACGCTTACAGAGTGATGAAAAAATTTGTACGAATATTTTGTTTTATGAAAATTTGTGAATGTTCTTCGAATATGCTATTTTTAAGTTGACAGTAATGGAACTGAGGTAAATTTATTACATTCTGAAGATTGAAAGAGACGAACTGTGCCTAAATTGTACTTAAAGAAACTCATTACAATTAAAAATATTTTATAAAAATAACGAAATTTTCATATTTTTAACAATATGTTGCAATTAAAAACAAAGCAGTCTTATGTGTTTAGTGGAAATGGAATGTGCCCTGAAGTGAAAACAAATACCAGAATGATACGTCTGTTTGCCGACAGCCAGAAGTAGTAAATTTCCTCATTTGCCTTGAATGTGTTTATCGGGATGGCCTGTGTAGGAGTCATTTTTGGAGAGTCCAAATTCTTTTAGTGATTTGACAGAGTCGCAGCAAACAAAGCACCTTGCCGACATCAGTTAAGCGAATATTTCATTCGGCACTGTCCATCCTAGAAACAAAGGTTACAGCGCGCCGCATTGTTCAACTCCCATTAACGCACTAAATATTGTATCGATTTCATTCTTTAGAGTGCAGTTTATTTATAATCAGGAAATATATTTTTCCCGTTGAATTTTTGGTAAATGTCCACAATAAGAATAAAGTGTCTGTATTAATGCGAGTACTGCGTGCGCATTATACAGGAAGGCCGCGGCAAATGTGCGTGGTTGTGAAGTAAATCGTCCTCGACCTACAACCCACACTCCACCTCCTCCACTGTCACGTCTACTCGCGTTGTATTATGCGTTGTGGCAGCGGTCTCCCCATTGCTACAAGGAAGTTGAGAAGTTTCGATTTTTCCCGAATATGCATGTAGTTCAGGAATAAAATGCATGGTGATATTTCAGTGCCATATCAAATATTGCATTTTCTGTCTATTTTAATTTGCGAACGGCAATTTATTCAATTACATAAACATATTTAAATAGCTTGTAATTCCACCATTCTTCATTAGGAAGAATGTTTGGTAAAAAAGCACTTGCAATCTTGTCTTCCAAGATATTCGTAATTTCGAATTTTTGAATGTATGCTTTGAGAGTATTTAGATTCAAGGATGAATATTGTATTGTAAAATTTGAGTATTGTGTGTAAATTGTTGAGATATGTTAAAAATATAAGTAAGAAATCATGTTAATTAGCTAGTAGCAAGATACAAGCGTGAGAGGTTGTATGTCCAAATGCTATGTATTAAAAATAAAAAAAATTGCTAACCTGTGAAAGGCAATACTGCCGAACAGGAAGAAAATAAATTAAAAAAAAAGGATCTTGCGGACAAGGTGCTTGCTCAATGAAACTGAAAGTACAAGTGTCTTGGCATTTACAAATTCATTCACTACTCAGTAATTTCCCTTTTAATAATTTTAGTATTGTTATTCAGCTGCAATGAAACAAACTGGAGACGAAGGAACAGACATCGTGTCAAAGCTTGTAACATATTTTAGAACTGTTCGTTACTTGTAACTCAAACGATCTTGGGCCAGATCGTTTTCTCTAGATATAATTTTCTTAGTAAAACACGGTATTATATTGTGGTTTCATGTGTAGTTTTCCTCTTTTTTTGTTAATGTGGATTTCGTGTGTTTTGAGGAAGAGAAGGGACATTGTAGGACTCGTATTTCATTTGCTCGAGTTTCCTTGATTCAAGTTTCACTGTTCTATTGAGACCGGATGTGTGAACGAGTCCCCACCCCCGTCACACAGAGCGTGCGAAGAGAGCGTAATGCATG